CAATTCCCAATAGTATTTTTATTTCCATCCTAAAATTGTATGAGCCCAGTATTGACTGCCTGCACTTCTCGTAGCTTTCTGTCTTCAAACTCCTACAGAAGCTACACCTTAGTAGGGAGCCAGTGGCTCATGTCTGTAATCCTAGCTACTCAGGAGGCTGAGATCTGAGGATCTTGGTTTAAATCCAGCCTGGGAAGGAAAGTCTGGGAGACTTATCTCCAATAAACCACTAGAAAACTGGAAGTGGCACTGTGGCTCAAGCGGTAGAGCACTTACCTTGAGCTGAAGAGTGCAGGGACAGCATCCAGGCAACCGACAAAAAAAAAAAAAAAAAAAAACAGCTACTCCTTAACTAGTTTATGCCATTCTTGGCTTTCCCTAGACTTTCCCAACTATCTTCCCACCAGCCATTTTGAATGTTTAATAACTACATGGTCAGGGTTAGTTATAGCAATGATCCTACTTCTGTATTTGTTTTTGTTTTTTGTTTTTTTGGGTCCGGTCGTAGTGCCTGAACTCTGGGCCTGGGCACTGTCCTTCAGCTCTTCAGCTCAAGTCTAGCGCTCTACCACTTGAGCCACAGCGCCACTTCCGGCTTTTTTCTTTTTGCTTATGTGGTGCTGAGGAATTGAACCCAGGGCCTGGAGCATGCAAGGCAAGCGCTCTACCACTGAGCCACCTTCCCAGCCCCTGTATTTGTTATTTTTGTACTGCAGGGACAAAATACCTGAGAGAATAACTTCAAGGGTGAAGGATTTATTTTGGATGCTTCATCCAGTCTATGGTTGCTTGACACATGCGCTTGGGAAAAAATACCATGTGGCAGATAAGTAAGTCGAGAGACAGATTAGAAAAGGCCTGGGAAAAAATGCACACAACAACTTCCCCCTATTGACTCAATTCCTCCTGTTAGACTCCACCTAATAAGTTTCCAGAATATTCCTTCCAAATTAATGCTACTTTTTTAACATATGAGCCCATAGGGGACACTGCATTTTCAAACCCGAGGTCTTCCTCTAGGTTCTACCCCAAGAAAGTCCTGAGAAGGGGATTCAGATTCAGGTGGTTTCTTTGAGAGATTGATCTCTGGAACTGGGACAGAGTATAAGAGGATGTGTTAGCAGATCAGTCATTCCTGTAGACTTGTTGGGGATTCTCTGGGGAACAGTGTGGAATATGCCTAGGATGGAAAGGCTTGATCGTTCCAGTTTCCCAGTGATGGACAGTTTCTCCTCCTCATCACTTAGCCCTGCTGAGTAATTCCCACAGTTTCAAAGAACGCCACTTTAAAACTTTGAGATGAGTAGAGTGAAGTCAGGTTGACATCTACCAGAATCTATTTTAGGTTGAAAAAGAGGGAAATGGGGAAAGGGTTCCTGGTAGGAGGAAGAGCAGGTTTCGAGTTTCTGGAGAACAGGACTTGGAGCTTTTCTTCTAAACGACCAGATAGAATAACAGAACTATCATTGAGGGTGTAACATTAATGTGGATGGACAGTGTATAGGGTTTTGTGTGTGTGTGCCCATCCTGGGACTTGAACTTGGGGACAGGGCACTGTCCATGAGCTTTTGTGTTCCATACTAGCCCTCTACCACTTGAGCCACAGCTCTACTGCTGCTTTTTTTTGGTGTTTTCATTAGAGAAAAGAGTCTCATGAATTTTCCAGCATGGTTTGGCTTTGAACCATGATCCTCACATCTAATCTTCCTGAGTTACTAGGATTTTAGTGTGAGCCACCAGCATCTGGATGTGAGGGCTTTTATAGGACATTCAAGGACTTAGAATTTCAAACGATGTAGAATTTTGAGCACAGTAATAAGATTATCTTTCTATATTGTCATTTGCAGACAATTTTATTTCTCCCTCTTTTTTTGTAGGTCATGGGGCTTCAACTTTGGTCCTGGGCACTGTCCTCAACAATTCAGCTCAAGGCTAGTACCCTACCACTTGAGCCACAGAGCCACTTCTGGCTTTTTCCTGCTTATATGGTGCTGAGGAATGGAACCCAGGGCCTCATGCATGCAAGGCAAGCACTCTCCCACTGAGTCAATTTCCCAGCCCCTATTTCTCCCTCTTATTACTGTATTACATTAGCTATGCTTTCTAGTGTGACATTTAGAATCAGCAGTGAAAGGGAAAATCACTTTGATATTAGCAATAAGGTCTTCATAGATGTTCTTTATCAAATTGAATAAGTTACTTTCTATTTGTGGTTGGTTACTTTTTTTAAAGTTATGAACAGGTGTTGGATTTTGTGAAGTGCTTTCTCTTTATTCATAAGATTGTACATTTTTTCTTGTGTACTCTTGCACTGTAATGAGTTACACGTGGTGGTAGCAATAAATCTGTTATGGTGGTGGGGTAAGAGTGAAAAAATAGTAATAGGACTAGAGAGATTAATTTTCAAATGCCTGAAGTAATGCTAGATGTAATTTTTTCTAGATATGTCATATGGGAAGAGAGAAGGGAGGAAGTAATCATATCTCCTAAAGCTGGCCTCCTGAGTGGATTGTGTCTCTAGGAGACATAAGTACTGAGGACTGTGTGCTAGAATTAGTGGCACAGAGGTCTTTGGAGACTGTAGGACAGCAAATAGAATAGTGAAGGAAGAAGAGTCAAATGAAGATGTCGATGTGTCAACTCAAGAATTTTGTGTACGAGATAAGGAAAAAGCAGGGCTAGAGAAAAATATGTTGTCAGTAGGAAGAACTGTACAAGTGTCAGGTAGGCTTGAATGCTGATGAGAATGACAAGTTCAAGAAGTAACCAAATCAAAGGCCTTGTCCCAACACACAAACCCCCCTCTCCTCCCCCTTACCTCTCCCTTCTCTTTCTCTTTCTGTCTCTATCTCTCTCTTTTTCTTTCTCTCTCTCTCTCCCCAAGTCCCGGGGTTTGAACTCAGGGCCTGGACACTATCCCTGAGCTTTCTTTGCACAAGGCTGGCACGCTACCACTTGAGCCACAGCTCCACTTCCAACCTTTTTAAGGTAACTAATAAATATGAGTCTCATGGACTTTCCTGCTGAGGATGAGTTTGAATCAAGATCCTCTGATCTCAGCCTCCATTGAGGCAAAAGCCACCAGCACCTAGCTTGTACTACTCATTTTTAATACCAATTTGATCATCCCAAATTGCCACACAAATTGTGTGTGTGTGTTTTAAAAAAAGCCCAGGTTGGGGCAAGTTTCAGCTTAGAACAGTGCTTGACTAGTACCTGAGTTCAATCCCTAGAATTGCCCAAAAGAAAAAAATGTAAAAATTCTCTAGCTACTGCTTCATTTATCTGCTTTCACCCTATTGGTCTACATTCAGTGTATCCTTATTTCCTGCAATTGTGCATCACAATTTCCATCTACCATTCAGTGGAAACGACTGCAATCGAAGTCACTGCCCTTGCCATCATCCTGATCTACTCATGAAATTTGAGATAGATGGTCCATTTTGTGACTTGGTTTTGTGATGGCTTTCTGCTCTTCCCCTTTCTCTGTAGCCATTCCCTCTATGGTCCACAGCAAGAGGCCTCATATACCCACTTGCCAAGCACTAGAGCCCTCAAGGTTAGGCCTTTGGACCTCTTTTGACCTGCACTACTCCTTCCAGTCTCCTAAACTTATGCATCTGTGAGTATCCAAACTTCTTTTCTAAACCTGCACAGCACCACCCAGCAAAGCTTTCTCAAAGGATCTCCACCTAAATTAAGAACATTCCAACTTCTAGACGCAAAATTTGGAATCATTCTATACTTCCTCTTTTTTGTCATAACCAAACCTGATCAGACAGAAAAGCATTTTGCATTGCTTCAAACAGACTCACAGTCTACCTCTTTTCACAACCTTCAACATTACCCCAACATTTCTCTTTTTGATTCAAAGTGGTCTTCAAACTTCCCTTCAAATCTAGTCTCAGCCCAGAGGCTAAAACCACTTCTTTAAATTGTACAAACAGATCATCTCAGTTCTCTGCTCAAAATGCACCAATGCTTTTCCATCTCTTCTTAGAAAGTTAACTTTTCTCTGTGTTCTTCCCCAGCAGCCAGGCCTCTGACTTTGTCACTGCACTTAGGCTGGTCACAGATCTCCAAATGAACTGAGGCAGGCATTCTCCTGGCATTGCAATCTGTCTTCCTTGTGCCATTTGCACTCCATTCCCTCACCTGCTTACACCTGGTGGATCAAACTGAGTTCCTTAACCAAAAGCATCTCAGATTCCCTGACGTGTCTTCCTCCAAAGCGCTGTCCATGGTATTGGCTTGTGCACCGTATCGTCCTCGCAATTTTGTTTGTCTTGCTTCTCACTCATTGGACAAAGCACCACACAGGCATCTCCAGCGGGCCTTAAAGTGCCGGACGAGTAGGCACTTCGCACTTCGAGGTTTGCAAAACCGAGGGTAAGAACCGGGGTCAGCGAGGTCTCGGGGCCAGGACGCAGTCTGCTCTGGGAAGAAAGGAGGCCCGAGGGCGCCTGAGAGGTGGAGGCGCTGGCGGAGGGCGTCCTGGGACGCTCGCGGCGGTCCCTGGCTCCCTCGGGCGAGGGGGCAGCTAGAGCGGAGAGCGGAGCCTGGGCCCGGGCCGCGACCGAACCCCAGCCCCCCTCAAGCCTTCTCGCCCTCTCCTTCCCGCAACCGGGCATTCTCGCGCCTGCACGCGGAGCTCCACGGTGTTCAGAGAAAGTGCTGCCCCGGGTCTTGTCCCGCCCCGGGTCTGGTGCGCAACCCGGGTCCCCCAAACCAGCCTTTCCTGAGCCACCGGCCACCCCACCTCCACCTCCAACTGCGCGCAGGCTCAATCCGCAATCGCTCACCCAGACCGAGGTCACAGAGGCTGGGACCCGCCCAGACTCGATTTCAGCCAACCCACAGCTAGAGCGAGGATAATTGACACCCACGGCAGGGGCGCCAGAACTGGATTAGACGCTGCTGCTGTGGTGGGCGGGCCTAGGTGGTCAAGTCTGGATTGGACACTGTTGCGTTGTGGGCGGGCCTCGGAAGGCGGAACAAGGAAACGCCTTCGCTGTGAGCTGGCGCCCTGGGCCGCGGAAGCGCGGCCGCAGCCGGCATGTCCACACGGAGGGACGGTGAGCAGGGGACGCGGGGTGCGAGTGGTCCCGCCACCGGGACGCAAGGAGCCACGAGGCATTCCTGAGGCTTGAAGGGAAGTTGAGCGGCCCTGAGGGCCGAGAGCGACAGGAGAGCCATGGGGTCGGGGGTCCGGCGTCTGAGGGACGCGGGGAGCCCGGGGGTCGGGGGTCAGGAGTCTGAGGGACGCGGGGAGCCCGGGGGTCGGGGGTC